ACTATAGTAGCAGCTGAAAGAAAGTAGCGGGAGCCACAGCAGCAACAACGGCCATTGATCAATTTCCTGCCATTGGCTCCGAGATGGCAGGCGTTCAACTGGGCCCTGCTAGATGGCACGACCTGTCCAGTTAAACCAGACAAAAATTGAATTTTTGAACCACTCGCGCCATTTCTCATAGTAACATCCAGTGGTTCTTTTTTCGATGAATCTAATAGAAACGAACAAGCAGCATTTTATTCCATCTCTTAATGCACGGAAGGTTCTTCATTTAGTGCAGCTAGTGTGATTACTAGAGATTAATTATAGGTGGTTTGTCTGACATCATCTGGATTATTTTGAGAATGTCCTACTGCGATGCATGTAATCTTGCGCAATCATTTTAATTTCTCAGTAAGTAGGGCACTGCTGTTGATAATATTGCTGTTTTAGACGTCATCATACATTGAACTTTCACTCTGACGTGAATTCTTATTTGACTTTAGTGTTCCTTTAAAAGTTGGTGAGACCGATAACTTATGGAAATACATGTATACTCCATACTTATTACACAATACATGTAGATGTCAGCTAAATACACAGTGCCTCGAAATGAAATTTCTGACAGTACCGGGCTTCCCTCTTGCTTTGCCTTGACAGGGCATTCATAGAGTGAGTCAGGTAAGACTCTTTATGCCTTGACAGATAAAGAGAATTTGTAAACTGCTAACGAATTATGATATAGAAGAAAAATAAGAAACTAGCCTTTATGCAACACTATATATATATGATCAAACGTCATTTAAAAAAATCTGGCACTGACGAGGTTATTTTAATCACATTTAGATTCCCAGAGGCGTATATTTTCATAATATCAAAGGTAGAGGAACTTTCTTGTTGCCACATTGGTACACCAGTCATGTAGGAACAGCGCAGCTTACAAATGTTGATTAGGAGGTATACATCCACATGTTGCTACCTGAAAGGATAAATGAAGCAACAAAAAAAGATGCTGCTCTACACACATTAGCCTTTATATTTCATTTTGTTACACTCAAATGGCTATTAAGCAGTACAGAATGGCACACTATAGGCAACTTATAAAGTACAGGGCTGGTCAAAAGTTGGCAAGCCACGCTTTCATTGAAATACATGGGATTGTGGCCAGTCAACTTTTGACCCCCTACCCTCTGTACCGTATTTACAAGCCATACTACACATTAAAAAAAGAAGGCTTGAACATAGCAGAGGCTTTACACAAAACATCCAATTCTGAACCTGCTATTGAACGATGGTGCAGTAATTCATACATTCAATGGCATTGAAGAGCTCGCGCTTGTCTTCTTCTTCGTCTCCATGCACTGGCGCATAGCAATATTATAAAAGACCTATAATAACTAACCAATTTCTGTCCCATATTAATTAAATAGTTAAGAAAACAGCAAGTTATTGATGGATTAGGTTATCAGCAAAGTATCTATGAACCCGCAGACTGCTCAACCATGGACAAAAAGGTTGAACAGCTGTGTGAGAAATAAGGCACCAAGCAGAACCTCTACTGCAGTTGCTTTCAGCATTGTGCCACTATTGCTAGCTGCTCGTACATTCTACTGTGCAAGATATATTCTCCTTATCACTATCACGTTGCAAGGGGCCAATTATATTTCTGAGGAACTCTGAAAAAAAAAAAAAAAAGCTTTTCAGTGCAATAGTCATTCTCCTCGCTTCCTCTAAAGTCAAATTTCATTTGTAAAGCCCCGCACATGACAATACAGCGCTGCGACCCCAAATGGTACAACATAAACATGTGATGCTACAGACTCTCGTTAACCCCCCCCCCCCCCCCCCAAATATACCTCTTTAGAATGAAATCTTATGTTTACCTCACCTTAACTACAACAAGCAGCCAACCAATGTCAGAGCCTGGATTTGTTGTAAGGCACCAAGCCGGATTAGTTGGTTTACAATAATTTCAAAAACTTAACTGTGCCATTTGACATGGATGAAGACAAGTGAAGACTGTGTCCATCCTGTCTTTCACTCGTTTTTGTCTGTGTTGAATAACACAGTTAATAAGAAGCCTTTAAAATCAATTACCTGTCATAAACTTTGCATGGGCCTTTTAGTGATTTTGAATCCGATTACGCAAGATAAAATATAATGCACAAATGGTGCTGCAAGTTGGAAACGCACATATTGACACGCTTTTCATTAAACAGGTCGTACTCATAACAGTGTTCGATACAGTGGATTCTAGATGTGTAAAATCTGAAGGAGATTACAACACTTTACTATATTTCTAATTAAATGTAGCAGATGCAGGCCTCAAGTCGTTGAATTCAATGCACAATGGTTACTTTTTTTCTTGCTGGTATGTTTCATTAAAACAAATCTTTCATTATGATAGTCAAAAGAGCTCCTTGTATGAGTAATTTACATTTTGAGGCATGCACTTTACTCAGTTTCGGTGTGGATTCGATGCCTTGTTTGACAGAAAATGCTGAAACAGTGCTGTTGTGTCAGCATGAATACTTACAAGGACAGGAGAAGTGATTTCCAAGTTGTTTTTGAAAAATGCAATGTTGTGTATTAAAGCAAAAACGAACTAGAACACATTTCTCTAAATATTTTGAGAGTGAATATCTCAATACTGGTTACTGGTTTCATCCTGACAACACATCATAAATGTATATGCCTTGCTGCCTTGCCTACCTGCAGTTTGTAAACTGGGGTATGCATCTTGAAGTAACTAATTAAAAAGTTTGTGAGTGAATCATTGATTCGCCATATGTACTACAATTTTTGTGCGAGTAATGCACACTGGTTTATGTAATCAAGCTCGGAGGCTACACTTAAGCTATCTGGGAGCAGTTATTCCGATTTCGAAAAATTCAATTTAAAAAACAAGCATAGCCTCCATCTAAATATTATGCATTGACTGTCTGACCTCTATGGTTCTTGGCTGCTGAACCATAGGTCGCGGGTTCGATCCCAGGCACTGTGGTCAAAATTTGACAAAGACGATATGGTAGAGACCTGTGTACTGTGTGATGTCAGTGCACGTTAAATAACACCAGATGGTCAAAGTGTTCGGAGCCCTCCGCAACAGCGTGCCTGATAATCATGTGCGAAAAATTCATAAACAACGGTTGTGTGATCGAGCCACATTTTGACAAGTGGACTTGTCTTCTCGACGGCTATAAACTATCGATATGTGGGGTTTAACGTCCCAAATCCACCATATGATTGAGAGGCGCCGTAGTGGAGGGCTCGGAAATTTCGAACCCCTGGGGTCCTTTAACGTGCACCCAAACCTGAGCACCCGGGCCTCCAGCATTTTCGCCTCTATCGAAATGCAAAACATCCTGCAACCTGCGGGTCAGCAGGCTAGAACCTTAGCCAATAGACCACTGTGGCGGGGCACGGCTATAAACTGAATTAGCTTTGAAGAAGGCAAGTTCACTTGTCAAAACGTCAGCTCAAGCAAACAACCCAATCACAGATTTTTTTTCATCACAAACTTTTATCTTCCCTTTTCTGTCGTCTTTTGAACTCATAATCATATGATGGTTTTGAAATGTGACGCCCCTGACATGTCTGAACTCTGGTGGTGGCATCCACTTTTTACGTCACCCAGATGAAATGAGGGTTCAAAAAGTTCAGATAGTGTTGTATGTGCTCTGTAACTTAATGTTTGATGTCATTTTGCAGATGTACCAAGGTGTAGTATTGTAGTCGCGCTATACTACTAGAGCCAAGATATTTGCCACCGCGTGCCTTTTGATTGATTTATTTTATTTATTCATAATACACTTAAGGGAGGGCATTGCATGGGGGGGTGTACATTAAAAAACATAAAAAATAAATGAAAAGATCAATACCAGCGCACAAAATATACCTGTAATGTGTTAGAAAAAAAACGTGGAATTCTTACAGAATTCTAGCAGGAACATCAATCATAACATAAATATGAAGCTTAGACATTGACTGATTACAAAGTAAATACATAGTAGCAGTGGGAAGGTCCCACATTACATTAAAATCACACTGATGCAAAATATGTTAATGCACACATCACAATATGGTATCACTCCGAAATCAATCTAAGCAATACTATTTTCACGTAACAATGCTTGACAACATGATAAATCAATTTTTGTTGCAATGTATAACGATAGTTTAACGGTTAACATACACAAAGGAGAATAGCCTACGAATTAACTTTCCTCAATTGTAGATATACATTCGCTACACAGCTTCAGCCAAACTAGTAACGTTGGCTTCAGCCATCAAACTCTAAACTACAAGCCAATTTAATCCACACAATTCAATGTCAGATCGGTATTAGTGCCTCCTCTAAAAAGTTACAGAGGAGGCATTGATACTAATATACATTATTAACAGTCACTTCACTCCCTACCACTAATCTAAAATAAAAATGGATTAGAATACAAGGGTTGAAGGAGAGCTGTTTTGTTCATCAATAAAAACATCCCACTGAACTGCCAACCTAATTATTGTGAGCTGGATCACCGGCGCTTCAGAATTACGCCACATTTTAGCGACTCGAGTTACAGCACCAAATTCTCTCTAACAAACAACCAGAAGCGTAACCACGGGGTGGAACACCGGGCTCATTATGAAACCAAACTATGTGGGTATCTCGAACAGTTGATGCAACGAGACCAGCCGGTAAAGGACGCATTGATATAGCAGGCAGTGCTCGGGGTAACACGGCTGATTTGATTGCGAACATACAGCGATGTTGCTTGTTCGGTCACCGCTGCTTAGTACCGCGAATTACTTAACATCTAGCGTTAGTTAGCGCAGACTTCGGCGGAACAAACATGCGTCGTCTGCCAGAAGCGTAGCGCAGGTGTGCAAAATTGGAACAGGGGTAACGCTAACGATCAATTAAACCTTAGGTTCAAGTTGCGGCACCGAAGTCATTAGCTATACGACGCTCAGCACTTCTAAACAACAGAGAAAATCAGATTTTTGGTAAGAAAATACCAACTTACACACGCCTTTCCCTGCATAGTTCTGCTAGTTCTGCTACTGCGTAGCCAGGAAACCGTAGTGTCAGTTTCGAAATTAAACTATCAAATTGCCTAATTCTTTTGATTAAAAAAATTATAACAATTTGAAATTGTACTTCTTTGTACAAAAATTGTTTAGGTTTTTTATTTGTTTATTTTAGTGCGGTACTGTGGTTGTCATGTGGAACGGTTTTTGCGGATTTTAAAAATGGCGCTGTCAATAGGAGAGATGGGATCGGCCGCATACGTGGATGTTCTGTGAGCATATGGAGTGGCGTCACGTTCAACGCGCATAGTGATATGACACTCGCGCCGAATGTGCCGTGAAACGCGGGGTGTACCGGCATCTCGGCTCGCGTGAGAGACGGTCTGGTAAGACGTTCTCCACTTCATCGCTCCCCGTCGCGCGTCATTGTGTGACCGTCTTCTATACTTCTGCCAAATGGCGACTAATTCTGATTCACTGAATTTTTATTGCGCGATCATCAAACTTATCGTGTTTCTTCGCTGCCCCCCCCCCCCCCCTAAGTGGCGCTGCATAGTCCACAAATAGGAATGCTTTTTTTTTTTTTAACAATCGCGAGGGGTTACTTTCGCGCGCGCGCGATGTCGGCCCATGATTGATGAACCGTTGCGTGGAAACACTTTGATGATTATTAAGGTAGAAATTCTGCCCTACGGAACTACTGTAATTGTATCCACACTGCGGCATCTGAGCGCGCTTGCGGGTTATGAAACCTAGGATCATCTACTTCAATTTAACTAGGTCACATCATAAAGCGAGATCTCGGCGTTGAAGTTGATAATGAGAAAACAAAGTTGCTTCTTATCGCTTTTGCTCGTTGTTTTCTGGATCGCAGATAGGGGGATGCCCAGCGAGCTATAACAGCGGCGCGACTGAAAAATACCTTACAACTCTTTTTATTATTATTATTATTTCTGTCTCTACGTGATGGCCCTTCCATGTAGTACGCCGGCTCTCGGTGCAGCTGACTTTGACTCCGGGAAGGGTTTGCAGCTTTCCTTCTTTATCGCACTATCGCCTGTGTTCTCTATCGTGTTTTGCTGATCGAATGACACGTTATAAAGTCCGGGCTCTATCGCCAATCGAACAGGAAAGGACGAAGGTTACCCAAACACGAAAATTTCGATGCGCTAGACTTGTCTGAAACATCGCAGATGCAGTACTTCTTTGAAATATTTACGTAGGTTCCTCGTAGCGCGTAATGAGCGGAGTTAACTTTTGTGATAAGGCTAGGATAAGAATGACCGTAAGCAACGGAAAATCAGTCGGCACGACCGCGCCGCGGAACCGTCAGTCTTGAGCAAGAGCCTTCGTCATGTTTTTACTGCTTCTTTGTGCAAGGGAAACCAGATATGACTATGGCTACGTTAATAATTAAGCTTGTAAAGTGAACCTGTGGTTCTGGCATGAAGAGAATGAATACATTTGAGAAAATATAACTCATCACGGCAAAACATCTTCATGGACGTGCAAGGCTCCCTTGGTTAAATGCGTACTGTTACTGATTATTGTTATACATACAGTTGCCTCTGTACATGTCGAACTTCATGAGTTTCAGCAACACAGCAGCATCACACACCTTGTTGTCGTGCTTGATGTGTCTGCTATTTCTTGTCGTTTTTTACGCATGAACTATTTTGTGTGAACAGTTGGCACATATCATTAGGCTAGGGCACCTGACCTAGTGGGTATGATACTGGATCGCTGAGCTCAGTGCCTTTGTTGTATCCTTGCTGCAATATTTTGATTCCACAAAAAAAGGACGAGAAAACACCTTGCCAAAACTGGGAACCCAGAACCTTTGTGAAGGTTGTGGGTTTGATCCATACTGGCAGCAAGTTTTCTTTGACAGTCTCATTGTCCTTTATGTAATAAATACTGTACCTCAATTAAAAGCTACAAATAACAAGCACCAAGCCTTCCTTGGCTTTATATTTGTTACCTTTTAGTAGGGTTGAGAGCTGGGCTAGTTGGTGAGACATCATTTAACCATATGGTGTAGTAGCGCAAATTCGACGGGGGCGAAGAGAACAACTGTAATTGTCGTGTTTTCTTGTCCTCTTCGTCCCCGTCGAATTTGCGCTACTACACCATATGGTTAAATGATTTGTTACCTTTGTTTAGCCATGTCTAACAAAAAGTTTTCTTATCCATTAATCATCTTATGTTCATAACCAGGGTGTGGTTTTGTCAAATGACACCTCCGGCATTAACTTTTTTCTCAATTGTTAGTTGGTAATCATTTAATAACATGCGTAGTTGTGACAGAATGACATGAAGGACTGTTGGATTATTAGATTTCTCTTTGCTTTCCCACATTGTACCATATGCACAAACCATATTCCTTTACTCTGTAGGGCCTTAAAACTGTGTAAAAGCTTGTGTTTTCTAGCACAGTATATTGTATGAAGACACCAAGTTCATTCAATCTATCCAGTATGTTGTGTGTAAAGCTGGGGATAAAAAAGAAGAGTAATGTAGAATTAGTACAGACGCAAGTTGTAATTTTGTAGAGTTTAGAGACTAGGTGGGTTGGTTTGATTAAAGAGACTGACAATCGATTTTTCTTGTCCCAGTGTTATATGGCCCAATGAAGAGCCACCTCTGGGTCGCGTTTAAAGCTATAGCGGTTGATTCCAAAAGCACGTATATATTTTGTGTGCAGTAATTGTTTATTTGAGAAGGCACCAAAAAAGTTAAGGAAGAGTCCCTCCTCCAGCAATGCTGAGACCCTGTAGCGATGCTAATAGCACTCCTCGGAAATTGTTTATTACATTCAACGTGTGGCTTTCGTAGGAGTCAGTGCAACTGTGGTTAACCACCTTCGCTGGGGCATTTTCAATCATTTTTGAATATAAAAAGCTGGTAAAAAAGTTTTCCGAATGCTTGTCGTCGTATGAAGCCCCCTTACTGCCTTGCAAGCGAGGCGCTCCTTGTACCTTTCCAACTGGTCAGCAGGTGCCACTAGGCCCTCGGCTAATGACTTTGACATTGCACTCACCAGCATCGGATTATCAGCATACATCAAGCGAAGGTGGCTTCACCACCCCACCTTTGTTCTGCCAGTACTGACAAAGGCATATCTACACATTTTATGTTTGAAAAGGTATTAAAAGTGTGCTGCACTTTAACACTACTATAAAGACAATTAAATGCATTCATCAGTAAAGATTCACGTGATGGGGATCATATGCATCTTCACTTTTTTTGTCAGGTGAGATGCAAAAATTCATTTTTTGCAATGTTAGTCAAGAAATAAAAATATATATCTCAGCTTAATAAGAAAAACAAGGTCTGTTTTTATTTTAGCCAGTACAGTAGACAATATTTTAATTAGTGGGATTATTTCAATTCACGTTGTGTATAATTGTCTGCCCCTATTATTTGGTGCTCCTTGTGCAGAGAGCGCACCTTCCCACGGTAGAAATGCTGGCAGCTGCAGTGTTAAATTGGAGCTGTTTCATAAAACAGTCTTGTCTTGCTACTATGTGACATTTGTTCTGAAGACATGGCACAGGTATATTTTTTTCTGCTGTGCACATCATAGAAGTCGGTTGCACGTGCCATGGCATTTGTTATTCTTTGGAATGCTATGAAGTTTGACGGTGTGAGAGAGAGGCCCTACCTGATTTTTTTTTTTACATTTCAAAATTCATTGAGCTCTACTCACTCAAATTTAAACAAATGTGTGGGTGAGAATATAGCACTTTTGTGCTCATTTGTGAATAGGATAGAGAGTAAAAATGTAGTGAGACTACAAGTTTCATTTCAAGGCACCAGTTGTAAAAATTTTAACATGTATAAATCCTAAAATCTGCTAGCATTGGCGGTAATGGTGGTGACTTAAAAAAAACTGATGAAAATATTTAGGACCAGTACTCGACTGTAGGGGTGGTTCGAAGTGAAAGAATTTTAATCTGCATGAATTTACTGAGGGCACTTGGCACCACTAGACATAGCTATTTGTTAATTGCTTCATACTGCTCCTTAGTGTGGTATAGAAAGGGTTCATCCTCACTCTCACAAAAATTTCATGAGTAATTCGAAAAGAGAGAAAATTAAGGCAACATCCTTCGTGCAGTGTTGCATGTCTTTTTAATAAACTTAGCATTGCTGTGAGCGAAGGCCCGGATAATTTTGAAATGATTGTATTGTTTGTTTTTTCTTCTTTGAAATTTGAATCTCTGAAACACACTATCTTGAACCAGTAACTCTTCTATCAAAACATTCACTGGATATGAAGGAATCTGTAGCCAACAAATTCTGAAAAAAATATTAATGAAGCTATGTGCATTTCTTTATGGATAGAAAAACTGAATGTTTCCCATCACTACTTTTTAGGTTTTCATTTTATTTCTAATAATTTACTATATGTTGAAAGTTGAGACTATTTGTTAAGAGGTGGTGATGCTCTAGCTAGTAATGTGTTATTGTTCTGCAATTTTTTTTTTGTCTGTTGTATAGGGCACAATTTTATACGTGCAGCCAACTCTGTTTACTTTCTTCACCACCCTGCTATCTGGGTGTTTGTTCGTTGGCCGCTTACTTTGCCCACTATTCTGCTGAGTGCGACTGTTGCTCTTCGTGAGTTGAGACTGTTAGAATGAGTCTGACCAATTAAATTTGATAAACACTTACATTGGCTAGCCGCCAGACAGATAGTGGGGACTCCAGCTGGCCGTGAGGACGGTCAAAGCACACATGAATTGACTGCCTTTCTTTGTTGTGTGTCGAAGGTGATAAAATTTGGCTATAGGGCTGGAAGAGGCCTATTTATAGATAGGATAGGTTTATCCCTCAGTCATATCTCTAAAGGCTTTAACTTTAGCAAAACATTGCTACAGAAGGCAATGTATAATGTGTGCAGAAATAGGCCATTTTGGCGAAATAGTAAAGGTATGCAAATACATGATAATAAGGGCTGCAGCGCGAGCACGAATGTGCTAGAAGAAACAGACGAAAGTCGAGGCACGGAAGGCAAAGAGGACAACACGAGCGCTGACTACCAACTGAATTTTATTATTCGCAGCACACATGATAATATGTACAACAGGCAACCTTTGAACAGCACACGTGAGCAACGTGACATATTGTGGGGAATGTTCTGATAAAAAGAAGGTACAAAAATGGCTAACCCTTATCTAAAAGCGCAAACTCTTTGTCATGCAAGGCCACCGAAGGTTGGCTCACGCATCCGTCACCATTTTTTCTAATAAAATACGCTTCGGCTATTTCCCGAGTTAACTTGTCCATGTGGCGTGCCAGCACAGTCACGCCCGGAAATATAGTCACGCCCGGAAATATATATTTCCAATATATCTCATGGTTTGAAGAAGGTGGGCTCGAG